TTTCAAATTACCAATGTCAAAATCACTGATTTTTTTTTGGTAACATCCATAGACATTGATTGTATGTGGAATTGTAATTGACTCAACCCATTGAATCACTAATATAATTAGGAAGATGGTCTGCTTGCTTTAAAAAAAATAATGTGTGTATGTCAATGGACTAAATATATTATTTGTTTCCATAGCATATTTAGAAAATATAGAAAAATCCATGGGAGAAAACAAATCAGCCTCAATGTCAGAAATGGCTGTACATGTTGGGAATACTTCCTCCTGCAAACAAGATTGGGGGGGGCCTGTGTGAGGTGGTGGGGATGTCAGCAGACATGGCCATGCTCAGTGGTCATGGCACTGATGCCCAGTGGGAGCCATGACATCCAACAGAAGGGAGAGGAGCAGGAAAAGGGCACGTGGAGGTCATGTGGGCACTCATCAGTCTTGTTCCTGATGGGCCATTTCAGTGACTTTTCATTCTCCAGGGTACAGCCTCCAATGCCACCATCTCATTATGTGACCCTTTCTCATGCTGCCCAAATGTGGCCATCAATTCCTGCTTTAAGGTTTAGTCCAAGTCAATAATATATATAAAGGAAATACTTCTGCTTGCCACAAGTCTTAAAACAATGTGAGTCTATTGTGAAGTTGTCTGAAGGGGGGCTGCATCATGCAACCCAGAACTGAACTGCCTTGGAACCTCTTCATTCATTCAGCCCTGTGAAGCCCAACACTGCTCAGCAGTTGCTCCTCCTAATTTCTCCCAACAGTCGCTATCCCTCTCCAGGACCTGTTGGCTTTCACATCATTGGTCTTGATTCTCAGCCTTGCTTCCTCCTCTCCCTGCTGCTTCTGGAAGTTTTCCTTGTCAGAAGGCTTAAACTTTTTTTTTTCTTTTCCTCCTTCCTTCCTTCTTCCTTCCCTCCCTCCCTCCCTCCCTCCCTCCCTTGTAAATAAATGTAGTATCTCCAAGGTTTTTTTTTTTTCCAATTTACTTACTACCCTATCTATGAGAAAAAGGGCAGAAAATTGAGCAGCTCCCCTAATGAATTTTACTTAGAAAGCTGAAGAGAGTAGAAGATGGTGAATAACTATGTTTTCATACTATACTTGCCATGCAAATGGAGGGGCAGGTCACCCCATATAGTTAAGGCTGGAACACCTTCATCCAGATTATCTACAGATTAACTCCAGGCAAAGTGATCTCTGGAAACTAAAAAGCTGATTACTGCTAGTAAATAAACTGATTCTGAGTTCAGGTAGGTGCCTAAAGACTGACTTCAAATTAGTTGGCTCCTTTTTTCATGTTTTCTGCCACTTGGAAGCAAGGGTTCAGATGCACTGATTTACAGGATGGAAGGCTTGCTCCAGGCCTGAGGGCCCTGTGTGTTGAGCGAGGCCACCTTGTTTCATATGATTATAATTTTATGCACAAGATTTCAGAAACTTCTGAATGTTATTCGAGGGCTGAAATGATGAATTCCCAAGCCTCATGTTCTCTTAGTGGTTAACATGATCAAACACAAAGTATCACGACGTCAGGTCCCTGTGTCAGTGTTGTAAGAGTTTAAGATGGCTGGATGTGGCCTCCCTTTTGATAACATCTGTGAATCTTTCTTGGGGTTTTCAGGCATCTGCAGGCATATCTTTGTCTCCTACTGTGCCTCGAGCCTGGATCTGCTCCCGTTCATGCCTCTGCTTTCCCTCTGTCTGTCCTGCAGTTATCTTTGTGGCTTTTCTGGGGATTCCCTTCAGTACAGACGTTAGCCCTTCCCTTCTCCCATTGAAATGACCTGTAAGGTTGGTCATGGAATTCTACAAAAAGGATTTCAGCAGCTTATGATAGAATAGTTAAGTAACAAGGACCAACTAACGGGAAGGAAGGATTCAATTATACATGAAAATTATTCTCAGGTACCAGGGAGATTAGGTTAAGGACATATTATAATTGAAAGTCAGTAATGGTGACCAGTAAGGAGATAGCCCCTTCCTATTTTCACCAATAATGTGAATTTAGGAAAAAGGGAAATTATATAAGGATGTAAATATTTTAAGGAGAAGTGCTCTTTTACAGTTAGAAGAAACTTTAAATTATGTAGGGTAGCTCCATGATTCTCGGATAAAAACCAAGGCCTAGAGCAGAGGAGTAATTTGTTCAAGGATCCTCAGCGGTTGGAACTTTTTCTGTTGTGTATCTACCATGTGCCAGATGTCATTCTAGGTCTCAGACAAGCAGCCACAACTAGGTCAAGGTCCCCGTCCTGTTGGGATTTAAACATCAGTGGGGGAAGCAGGTAAGCAAGCAGAGCAATAACAAATAAACAGGGTCATTTAAACACTGTTGAATTCTTTGGTAGGAGGAAGGTGATAGAGGGGTAGAGGGAGGTTCTGAAGAGAAAACACAGGTGCCAGGCGGCTGTGGTGAGAAGTCCCAGTCCTGTGAAGGTGACGTGCGTCTGAGCACGTGAGCGCTGCCACACTCCAAACTGCCTCCAAAGAAAACGCCTGTGATGTCTTCAGCAGTGCCGCAGAGGTGAGGTGAGACACATTAATGACATGAGGTAAATGAGCATCGTGTAGAGGCAAGGTTATAGTAGGCAGCTCATTATGCTGGGCCTTTAAAAAAGAAACTTATGTAGCAGCCAGTCTCTGGGCTGGAGGAGCTCGCCGCCCAATGGACAGCTTCCCAGTCACAAAGGCGGCCTCTGGAACCCTGACAACTGCTCTGAGATCCACCCAGGTGGAAGTGCGGGAGACAGCTAATTTGCCTTAGACAGGATTCTGGTCAAGATCCCATCCTCTTCTGAAAGGAGCGTTTGGCCACAGTATCCGTGGCTCGGGCTTTCTGTCTTGCCTAACCCACACGTCGTGTTTAATGATATTATTGTGCTTACACAGTAAAACAAAAGAGTCACTGTGCACATTAACGACACTGACTCTGGCTGATATCGATCATTGAAAATGAACGAGAAGAGCTGGTGAGCAACTGCCGACATGCAAAGCATCGTTGTTGCTGTTGTTTCAAATTTAGCTAAATATATTGGTATTGCATATGGAGAGTTCAAGCTATAATTCAATTGCTATTCTTTAGCCTGGGATTACTTGAGGAGACACTATGAGATGAATCAATTTGTATTTAGTATTGATAATAACAGGGAAAATACATTTGGCTGAAGATATTATCTCCATGCCAATTCTCAGAGAAAATTTCCCCCAGATTATATGAGCCTCTCCTTATCAGTGAAGAGAGAAAATTAAAAGCCTTAGGTAGTCATACTGAAAGATTAGAGAAGAAGGCTAGACCAGAACAGGGAATTTTTTGTTTGTTTGTTTTTTGTTTTATAAAGCACACTTAATGGAGATCCTAAGATTCTTGAAGACATTTTAAAATTATCTTTTAAATGATTATAAAAATTATTTTCAGTGTTACTGCAATAACATTCTAGAAACCACTGAGGGTAATGGGGTGACTGTAAAAAATGTAGAAAAGTTACATGGGTTAGAAGAGGTAGAAAAATCCATGTGGCCCAACCATCCCCTGGGAAGTGGGGGTTTGTGCCCAGTTGTAAGATGTGAAAGCCAGAGCAGCACACTGTTGATTACTCAAGAGCTTGACCGTTCACACAGAGTTCTGACTGTTGCAAAGCCCACCATTTCTCAGAAGGTGTCAGTGTTGGAAGAAAAGCATGAGAATGTCCAAGTGGACCCTTGCTGGAGTGTAACAGAACTTCAAAAGCTTCTCTGAGCCTCCAACCTGAGAATAAAACATGAGGTGTCAAAGCTGCTGTTTCCCAGCTGTGAGGCACGCTAAGGAGAGAGCTGAAGCTCTGGGGTCATAGATGTTTTCTTTGCAGGCAGTTTGGAGTGCTGTGCTATTTCTGTTCTCTCTTTCTCTGTTACTCCAGGTCTAACTAGAGGCGGGCGGAGAGTGTTAGTGCTTAAGGCAAGCGAGAGGATCTTAAGGAACCACAGAGGCCATTTAGCCTTGTGCCAGGCACCCCATCCCCAGGCTGGATGCTGTAGCCAGATCAGATAGGAGTTCGCAGAGCAAAGGGAGAGGGTGTCTCCCTGGGAGGGAACGAGATGGCAGGCAAGAGTGGTTGTTTTCCACGAATCAGATGTGGGGAGAGAGCAAGCCTGTTTGTGAGGAGAGTCTGGAGGGATAATGGCCAGCCAGAAATGAGGCATTGCCTCAGTTCAAGGGCTCTGTGGCCAGAGGCCACAGCTGGGTTCTCAGGAATCAGCCAACATGCTGCACGATAATAAAAGTCACCCTCAGACAATTCCCCAAACCCAAAGTGTGCTGACACCGATTTACCTCTGTGCCCTTTCTCTCTGAACCCTACCCCTGGGCCGAGTCACAGAGCGGTCAGAAGCAAACCGGTGGGGAGAGGAGATGAGGGGAGGAAAGAGGCCATGGTCGCTCCTCCCCTTCCTCAGAACAGAATTCCAGGGTGGAACAGATCCAAGGGGGGTGACAGGGAGAGAAGTTTTAAGTTCAAGTGAATTTGGAGTTCTGTTACTCTAATAGAACAGACTGAATTCTGTAATTTTCAGCTGGACTGGACTCAACAAAATTTGAAGGTGACCAGAGAACTTTTATTATCTAAGCATTACTAGAAACCAAAGTCATCCCTAAGATTTCATTTTAGGGTCAGAAGAGAACAGGTGAGGGATTTCAATAGACAGAGAAGAATGAAATGAAATCAGTCTCTAGATCAGTTAATAAGCTACTTCTGTGACCTGAGCACACGCTGAGACTGTGTGGTGCTTTGGTTCCAAAGGTCAAATGTGTGACCAATGCTGGTGTTTGCTGAACTTGCATTCTCACTGACACTGTCTGCAAAGTGCTTGGCACAGTGGCTGGGGCAGTGCAGATCCTCAGTAATGTATTACTGTGCTAGTTACCTTTAATTATTATCACAGGGCATCTGACTTAGGCCATAACCAACTAGACTCTCAGCCTCTCTCAACAAGCAGGTTAAAAAGTGGGGACACACACTGACCTGGCAGGGGAGATACCATGATCACGAAGGTGGTTTTCCCAGGGCAAGGCTTATCCATTGCACTCCAGATGTGCTGACCCCTGCAAAACAGAAAAGAAGAAGGAAAAAAAAGCAGGGATAGCTCCAGGCCTCCATAGAGGGAGCTCTGCAACCATCCCTCCCGAGAAGACGGGGCAGTGGGGCCTCTACCAGCTGTGGCCTCCCGGCCAAAACGAGGCAGTGGTGGGTCAGACTGCAGGGAGGTGGCATAGCAAAGGGATCAGGCCGTCCTGACTGGGAATCTGGGCTCCACAGCCAGCAGTGGGACAAACTTCTCTAACTTCAGTTTTCTCATGTTTAAAATTCCAAAAATAATATGTGCTTGCTTGGGGGGGGGTGTGCAGAATAAATCCTCACTGAATTGGGTTGTTATTGTACGTAATAGATATTCCATTTGTTCCTTCTTCCCAGTTCACTGAGTTGTGATCCTCTTCTTTTAATTCTTAACACCTCTCTATGAAAGCCCAGCATTCTTTTTTTAAATTTTATGTTAAATCCTCACCCAAGGATATATATTTTAAATTGATTTTAGAGAGAGAAAGGGGGAGGGAGGGAGGGAAAGAGAGAGAGAGAAAAAAAAACCCCATCAATCACTTTCCTCCCATACATGCTCCAACTGGGGACCAAAACCACCACCTAGGGATGTTGTGCCCTGACTGGGGATGGAACCTACATGTTGGTGCTCCGGGTGGTGCTCCAACCAACTGAGCCACTCAGCCAGGGTCAGAAGCCCAACATTCTTAAACTTTCCTGCTCTGTGCCCTGTTTCCTTTACTTATCTGGGAAAGTAGTCTAATAAACGAATCTCTAATAAGGTAGAAACGAATGATAATTGCTTAGACTTGAGATTACCTTTTCACAGAAGAATATGGGAAAGAGAAAGCAGAGAAGAAATCTCAGGCCCTGAACTTTTACATTTGTGTTGACCTGATAGAAAATGCTTAGGGTTAGGGGACCCCCGTAAGTAGTCCCACTAGACTGGTACTGTACCGATGGCAAAACTACCTTTTTTTCCAATGTGGGCATCCCACTCTTATGGCCAGTGACTTGCTCTGTACTCCTCTGTGTCCAGCTCTAAACCAGGAGCTTTGCAACTGAATCACACTGAATTTTTGCAGCCTCTGAAAGGGAAGGTATGGTGAGCTGAGAGAGATGGTTACTCCAACCAGATAGACTTCAAAGTGGTCATTCATCCCAGACACACACCTACAAGAAGATGGTACTGCAGCAATTCAAGAAATGCATGCGTGGGTGAAAAAAAAAGATGAAAACTTTGCAAAGAGAAATGGAAAGAACAAAGAAGCATGAAAAGTCACAAATTTTAAATGCTTGAGATTGTCCTTGAATTCTTTACCTTCTTTCCTTGTGAGTTAATACCCATTTCTGTGGGATCAGCACACAAGCCACTTTCACAAATCTGCCAGGTACTCAGCTGGTGACAAGAGCTCAAGTCGTTAATGCATGCCCACGTCCCTTAATCTGGAGCTGGTGCTTGGCAGTGTTTGTGGGGACTTAACTTTAATGGACTCCGTAGGAATAGAGCTGACAGCTTCCCTTTCATGGATTTCAGAAAGTTAGATAGTGCTCCCTCACGGAACCTTGCAGTGCTCTACATCCCTGCGACTGTGGAGGAGGCCGTCATAAAACAGACATCTTCTCTCGCGGACGATCTCTCCTTTCACACCGCAAACGCAATAGTATTCATTGCTGAGGGAAAATGTCAGCCCTGCAGGGTAATCAAAGGGATATTCAGGGATGAAACTGGGGAGAAAAAAAACATTATGACTCAGCAGCAGCCCTTAAGCCTCCCTCCTTCTCTTCAGGGGACAGTCTAATGGTCTTCCATCTCATCATGTCGAACTTTAGTCATAATGTAGTCCTGCCGAAGAAGCCTTGGCACTCCCTCCTGATCTCAACCTCTCTCCAGTTCTGCACCCACAGCCATTAGTCATCCCTGATCCATAAAGCAAGTGTGGCCTCATGCTGCTAGCAGAAGTTGCAGAGGCAGGCTGAGCTGTGCTCGCCCCAGGGTTCAGGCGTGTGTGAACTTGTCTTGAGGACCAGTGGACAGGCCTGCAGGCTCATTGCCCTGTGAGAACAGGGTCTTGCTAGGCCAGAAGATACCCTGAAAGCAAAGTGAGTCATGCTGCCTGTGTGGCACAAAGTGAGCTCCAAAGAAGCACAGAGTGGATGGGTAATTGTCCCCTCTCCCAGGGATATTGGCCTGTGTCTGAGAAAGGGGCTGAAGTGAGATGAGGCAAAAGCTAAACTCTTGGAGATGAGGGTCCAGTAAACCAGGCCTCCAGAGTCAGCAAGGATGGAAGACAACTCCCTTTGCGTGCCCAGCACTTTGTCTTGATGTAGCTTTGCTGGGAACAGCCAGTGGCCTGGTCATATGTAAGTGTCCTGGCCTGGTAGGACCCATGGGGGCAGCAGATCCCACAGTGCCAGGTCTCTAGCAGGCACTCTCAGCCGTAAGTGATGATGGGTTACAGTTGAAAGTAATGGGGTCATCCATGACAGGAGAGAGTTCCCTGGTGAGCCACAGTCATAGCTGTGAGTACTATGAGAAGTGAAAAGTGTGAATTCTGAAACAAGTGCTTCGTGGAGCCTGTGAAAATTCCCAGGTGCATCAAGCTGTATTTTGAGGGTAGGAGTATGAGATACCCACCCCCCCAGGCTCAGTGGAGCCTGGAATCAGAGAAATACTATATAATGATATTATTTAATACTCTAGTTACCCGTGGCTGATATATGTAATGGGAAGTCAAGCAAGCCTGCATGTGTTGGAACCATGCATCTATATTTTGATTGTTGACAGCAGGCTATGGAGATGAGACAGTCAGAATGCTAAGAATCATGCTAAGGCAGGAACTTGCTGGCCCCTGGAGCTGGAGGAAGGAGAGACCCACTGTTGTGCTGACCATCCTTCCCTTGGCTTTGAGGGGGCTGGGCTATGTCAGCAGCACCACTGATTTTGTGGATCCTGGGCTACGGTACTAGTGAGGCAGAACCAGGGACTCATTTTCCAAGGATACTGGATGAATTGAGCCATGGCAGTAAGTGGTTGGGTGGAGGAATGCAATTCTGAGAAGAACATGTGCTAGATGATTGGACACCTCTAGCCCAGCTACTTTAGCATCTTGAGTGACTTTGGAATAGGGCCCGAGTTTGTATGTAGGTTAGAGAGCTGTGTCTCTAGGGAGCTGTAGGGTTGAGAGCTGTCTAAGCCGAACAAGGTGTCAATGCTGCTCTCCTGAATGGAGAGAAACTTGTATTAGGTCAGCATCGGCAGGTGCGCTGTGGTCTCTCCAGCAGGCAAGGACTGCATTGCATAGTGGCAAGAACAACCACTACAACTGAAGAGCACCTGCTACTCCAGCTGACTGCAGTAGACGGAATGTTTGTATCTGCTCAATTCTTATGTTGGAACTCTAATCCACAATGTGATAGTTGGAGAGGGGAGGGTGATTAGATGCTGAAGGTGGCACCATTATAAAATAGGATTAGTGCTCTTATGAAAAATAACCCTGGGAGGTCTGTCAAAATCTCTACCATGTAAGGATGCAGCAAAAAGATGGCCATCTATGAAGGCCAAATAAAGAGCTTCCAAGACAAAAGAAGTCTAAAAGGATGCACCTCAACCAAACCAGCTCTGCAAGAGATGCTAAAAGGACTGCTTTAAGGAAAGGAAGGTAAAGAGAGAGACAGAGAGGAACACACGTACAAAAATGGCAATGAATAAGTACCTATCAATAATAACCTTAAACACAAATGGATTAAATGCTCTAACCAAAAGACATAGAATAGCTGAATGGATAAGAAAGCATGACCCACACATATGCTGCCTACAAGTGACCCACCTCAGGACAAAAGACCTACACAGACTAAAAGTGAAGGGCTGGAAACAAATTTTCCAAGCAAACGGCCAGGAAAAAAAAAAGCCAGGGTAGCAATACTCTTATCAGACACAATAGACTTCAAAAACAAGGGCCATAAAGAGAGACCCAGAAGGTCACTTCATAATACTCAAGGGAAGAATCCACCAAGAAGTCATTAACATCATAAATATATATGCACCCAACATAGGAGCACCAAAATATATAAAGAAAATTGTAGAGGATTTCAAGAAAGATACTGACAGCAACACAATTATAGTAGGAAATTTTAACACCCCACTGTCAAAAATGGACAGATCTTCCAAACAAAAATTCAACAAAGATATTGTGGCATTGAACAATGCCCTAGATGAAATGGACTTAACTAATATATAGAGAGCCCTTAATCCCACAGAAGCTAAATACACATTCTTTTCAAATGCACATGAAACATTTTCAAAGATAGACCACATGATAAGACACAAAACAAACCTCAACAAATTCAAGAACATTGAAATCATACCAAGCATTTTCTCCGACCACAAGGGACTGAAACTGGAAACAAAACACAAAGGAAAACACCCCAAACACCCCAAATCATGGAGATTGAATAGCATGCTATTAAACAATGAATGGGTCAAGAATAAAATCAGGGAAGAAATAAAAAAGTTTCTGGAAACAAATGAAAATGAAATTAGGACAACCCAAAACTTACGGGACACAGTGAAGGCAGTCCCGAGAGGGAAGTTCATAGCAATACAGGCCTACCTAAAAAAGATAGAAACATTTCAAACAAACAACTTACCCCTATACCTACAAGAACTCGAGGAACAAAAACAAAGACAGCCCAGAGCAAGTGGAAGGAAGGAAATAACCAAGATCAGAGCAGAACTGAACGATATAGAGATGAAAAGCACAATTCTAAGGATCAATGAGTCCAGGAGCTGGTTTTTTGAAAAGATAAACAAAATCGACAAGCCTCTAAGTAGGCTCATTAAGAAAAGAAGAGAGAGGACCCAAATAAACACAATAAGAAATGAAAGAGGAGAAATTACAACTGACACCACAGAAATAGAAAGGATTGTAAGAAACTACTATGAAGAACTGTATGCCAAGAAATTTGAAAACCTAGGTGAAATAGACAAATTTCTAGACAAATGTAATCTTCCAAAACTCAGTGAAGAAGAAGCAGAAAGCCTGAACAGACCAATAATAGCAACTGAAGCAGTAATCAAAAAACTCCCATCACACAAAAGCCCTGGACCAGATGGGTTCACAGGAGAATTCTGCAAAGCATTTAAGGAAGATCTAACCCCTGTCCTTCACAGACTATTCCAAAAAATCCAAAATGATGGAAGACTCCCAAACTCTTTTTATGAAGCCAGCATCATCCTAATTCCAAAACCAGATAGAGACACAACAAAGAAAGAAAACTTCAGGCCAATATTGCTGATGAACATAGATGCTAAAATCCTCAACAAAATATTGGCAAATCGCATCCAACAATATATCAATAAGATCATACACCATGACCAAGTGGGATTCATCCCAGGGGTGCAAGGATGGTTCAATATTTGCAAATCAGTAAATGTAATACATCACATAAACAAAAGCAAAGACAAAAATCACATGATTATATCAATAGATGCAGAAAAAGCTTTTGATAAGGTACAACACCCATTTATGATAAAAACACTCAGCGCAGTGGGAATAGAGGGAGCATTCCTCAACATGATAAAGGCTATTTATGAGAGACCCACAGCCAACATCATACTCAATGGGTAAAAACTAAAATCTTTTCCACTAAGATCAGGAACAAGACAAGGTTGTCCACTTCCATCTCTTCTATTCAATATAGTATTGGAAGTTTTAGCCACAGCAATCAGACAAGAAAAGGAAATAAAAGGCATCCAAATCAGAAAGGAGGAAACAAAACTGTCACTGTTGGCAGATGACATGATAGTGTACATGGAAAATCCTATAGGCTCCACCCCAAAACTGCTCAACCTAATAAATGAATTTGGCAAAACAGTGGATACAAAGTCAATATCCAGAAATCAAAGGCATTTTTGTACACTAACAATGAAACAGCAGAAGCAGAAATCAAGAAAAAAATCCCATTCGATATAGCAAAAAGAAAAATAAAATATCTGGGAATAAACCTAACCAAGAAGGTAAAAGACCTGTATACAG